ATTGGAAGTGTGTTTGGGGATGGTGCAAGAAATCTTGGAAATAGGTTAGTTAAAACCCACTAAGGGTTTGTTAAATATTTCTTGACACTGGGTAAGTGGCCTTTCCAACCCTGGCAGAAGGCTGGAAAAATTAAAACAAGGGCCTCGAAACTGGGGGGGGTCAGTGGTTGAGGAAATTGAAAACGGAGAGTAGTGAATTTATATGCTCTGTATGCTAAGAAACTCTACTCTCCCTTCTTCCCTCTTGTTTGATTTCCAGAATGCTAGCAGCCAGAACTCACTCTCTAGGCAGGAGATTAGGTAATGCTTCGTTCAAGAGTAAAAATAAAGGTAAAACTTTTGGGCAGCTTTTACTATTTCCCCATCCTTTTCAACATGCACGGTGATTTCTCTTCTGCCTGAAGAGACAGTATTTATTTCTGGTCCTTGAATGATAATTATTTGATATAATTTGAAACTAATTGTTATCAATCTGTAGCTTGTTATTGGTAGTTGTTTTCAGGTTCCCCTTTCCTCTCTTCATTTCTCCTTTCTCTTTCTTTCCCCCATTTTAATAGCTCTTTCAATTTTTCTTCTTCCTTTTCCTTTCTTCTTTTCAACCCGTCCACTCTCCTTGTTTATTCACCTATACCTGCATGTTCAAATGCATGAAGAATATAATTAAATTTATGAGAAAATTAGCACAAATAATTAATGGATAGTATATAACAACATTGCTTTTCCACAGATGTACAACTTAATTTTGATTATATAGAGTATTTAGTTAAAAAAATATATAGTTTCATCCGTGCTGCCTGAATTAATAATGCTGTATAATTAACAAATCAGTTGTTTACATTAAAAATGTATTATGCATTAAATGATTATTCTCTATAAAATAGTTTAAATGTTTTCTTATTTACACTATTCACTCATTATATCACAAAGCTTTTTACATATATTTGGCAGTGTCTGAATTACTATTGATTCCATCAGTCAGTTTATTGTAAAACATGATTCTTCCTGTGAGCCAGTAGAACCCTATTATTACTTACTTTCTTATATCAAAAGCAGCTTTCCTCTGAATTACTATAAATCAAGTTAATAAAAGAGACTAAAGCAGTCTAAAGAAACCATATACTTTAAGATATGATTGGCACCTGTTCTGTTTTAGTTTAAAAACTTATTATTACCCCTGTTATTTATTAATATTGACATAAAAATATGGTGAGAAAGAGTTCTAAACACTTCTCTAAAAGTTTTCAAAATTTTGAAGTATATCTCTTAAAATATATATAACCTAGCTTTGATGTGGGGTTTTAATATTCTATAAGGAAAAAAAGCTATGGCCAGAAATTATAATTATGAAAATATCCTGATTTTGAGGATTTATAAATAATAGTGGTTCATAATGCAAACTTAAGCCTTTTTCTGAAAAACAAAAGCAGAAGGGTAGGACACATCAGATTTATATTTATGCCAAATCATGCCAAGACCTGATTTAACTAGTGTTTCTTGTCTAGGTTTCAAATATACTTATAGCTTTGACATACTTAATATAAAGTTAGTGTCTTTGATGTGTTTTCTCCCCTTCTTTTAAAAGTTGTAGACATGGTCCATTCATAGGCGTATATGTCTGTGTTTTACTTGTGTAATAGTTAATTGTTCTGTGGCAAGAATATTGTCAACCTGGCAGTTGATAAAAGCTAAAATATATGGTAACAAAAATAAAGTTCAGAGCAAGGAAATGTAAACAGTAAAATCTTGCATTAGTGAACATGTTAGAACAGGAAGAGTGAATGTTGGAGTTCAGTTCAACAGGTTGGATTGTATAGTATGAAAGTTGAAGCTGTATGAAGCAACTAGATCTGTAAGTTTAAAACTTGGCAAGCGGCGACTGTTACTTAAATCAGTGAAATACAAACAGTAGCTGGATTAAAGGCGGCAGCCTATCGGCTCCTGTCTCACTGCTGCTTCCCTTCTTTCTTTGCTCAGTTCCTTCCAGTTTATGATTAACTTTCCTTTCATTGCAACATTTTGCTGTTCCACAGTGTGCTGTGTCATAGATAATGAAATTATGTAGTGAAGAAATTAAAGTGTAGAATTCTGTCCTTGTTAGTCTTATGTTTATATTCCTGTTTATATAAGTTTGTGACAGTTTATTGCTGTCACATTATATATTGTGCTTTGCATTCTTATTTCCTTAAATAGTGTGTCTTGAATATCTTCCCAAGTCATTAAAATTCCTACAAAGTAGCATTTTAATAGCTGTATCATAATGTCACATAGATGTATCATAATTTATTCAACTTAATTGCTTTTGCTGGTCATTTACATTGTTTCTCATTTATCTCATAATTATAAGTATCATTCCCATGAACATAAGTTCACATAGGTTATATGTGCAAAACATGGTCTGCATAAGTTTAACTCTTTATGGACAACTCTGACTTTAGTGGAGTCAAGCATTGGGTCATTTTCTCTGTTCTCTAATTCCAGCTGTGCCACCTGTTTGATTTCTTCACTGATAGACAGAGGCATGTTGTGTCACTCTCAATTACAGTGACTGTCAGTGATGAAAATGCAGTCTGATACAATTTGAGGCTCTAATCTCCTATCAAAAGATCTCCCTTGTTCAATTTGGAACCAGGCTCTTAATGATATGTGCTCTACTGTGGGGAGAGGGCTTCCTAAGTTTTCAGGTATACCTTTTCCCACTCTGGAGCTTAGAGTTCTGTGTAATTGATTCACTTCTAAGATATCATTGCCAGGTTCTTTTTTCCAGGCCTAACTTCTCTGATGTACAGGCCTAATGAAGGGATTAGGGGAGAAAAGCTAGTGCCTTTACTTCAGCACCCAGATTCATCGTCCCTACTTTCGTTGTTGCTGCTTCTTTGGCCAGTTTTTACTGTTTCAATGCTCTTTATAACCCACAAGCAGTCAGTTTCCCCTCCTCTCTACACAGGAGCCTCTTGGACCCTTGCCTCCGCCCTTCACTTGCTTCTTTGTAGAATGTGTGTTGATTATAATTTGGCCTTTTTGAATGCCTTATTATCGGCATTTTTTTTTTTAATATAAAGTCCTGACTGTTTTTTTTTTGCATTCAGATATAGGCCCTAAGGATCATCAGTCCTAAAGAAACTTCCAGAAGAACTGCATACAATATTTTGTTTCAAATGTTAACATTTTTCCTACTGCTGTTTTAAATGCCAGCATAATTCTTTTTTTTTTTTAGATTTATTTATTTGTGCATACAGAACTGGGGTACAGGCCAGAGGCTCAGGGGTGATGAGAGGCTTCACCAGAGACAGAGTGGGGAGCAGAACAGGCAGATCTATGAAATACACTGCTGAGGGGAGCAGCGGGCAGGTCAGGGGAGGTCTGCCACACCATGTGGTCACCTCCAGGGCAGGCGGGAATCTAACTCATGCGGAAGTGGCTTTAGTTTCTCAGTGCTGCGCTTTAACCTGCTGCGCTTTAACCCGCTGCGCCACCAGGGAGGGCCCAGCATAATTCTTAACTGATAAAAACATTTTTTGGATCATCTGCATAGTAGATTCACAGTAGGATAACAAAAGTATCAGCACCCAACGAAGCACCTGTTAACAAAACAAAAAGGTTCTTTTCTGCTTTAGCAAAAGTTAGTGGTTATTTTAGCCTACTGACTTCCTCAAACATCCTTCCACACCAAGAGTTCCAAATTATTGGAACTCTTGCCCAGCACCTGCTTTTGTAAGGAAAATTTAGTAGAACATAGACTACTCCTTCATGTTTATATTGCCTATGGCTACGCTAATGAAACAACCTCAGAATTGTCTACTTGCAACAGGGGCCATTTGGCTTGCAAATACCAAAATATTAAATAGCTGACCATTTACAGAGAAAGTTTTCCAATTTCTGTTTTCCTCCCCTTCTTAAGAATTCTTTCCTAAAACATAGATCGGATAGACTGTTATTCTTGGAAATATCAAATAGCTTCTTACTGCTGACAGGATATATTCTCATATCTTTTAACTTTATATTTAAATGTGTTTGCAATACAGAATCATATGACTATGTCAGTTTCAAATTCATTTATTACTGTTTTCAGTGAAACAGCCTGAAATCTAGAGTTGCAAACAGGCACTTGTAGACTGAGTTTGGCCCCAGACTTACTTTGTTGGGCCCAAATCATGGTTTGGTTTTATCTTATTAAATAAGCATTTAAACTGGATTATCACATAGAAACCTATGTACTTGACAAGTGAAGAATTCTGACAACTCTGCCCCACACAGTGTGAGCCTAAAGTCTGTGAGCCCCGAGGACCTCCGCACACCCTGTGCTGTTTGCATCTATATGCAAACCAGGACCCCTTCACTCATGTATGTCACCTGCTGTGGCCACTGTGATATTTGAGTTTACAACCCTGGACCTACTTATAACTACCTCATGGTCATGTGATCCACCTTGTTCTCATTTAGTATATATTTACTTACAGTAGTTTTTACTAAAGAGTGTAATTGTTATTGCACAGAGTATTAGCACAGCATCCTAAGGCTGTCTGCATGAGATATGTTGTCTGAACATAACATTTTATTTTCAAGTCACTTTATTTTGAACTCATAAAGGCTTTAATTCCCAGACATTTTCTAAAGTTTCCTCTAAAAAAAGATCAACAAATAACTTTAAAAGAAAATATCACTACTTCCTTGAGTGGACAGGTAGGAGAAGGATGGTGTCTTCTGCCCTAGGATATGCTTTGGTGAAGATACTTACTATTTAAGGAATCTGAAGTGGAACAACTTCAGAACATGTTGCTATAATATGTTTTAAAAGGCAATTAAGTCTTGACATGCAAAGACATGTGAAGGTAGCATTCTAAAACAACTATGGAAGTTTTTTCTTTCACTGTAGAGTCTCTTAGTAGATAATTTATTATTAGTTGAATATTTGAAAAACACTGTCTAGAATAAATAATTATATAGCTACCCAAAATTGCATTATCTTCTCACTTGCACATAACAAATATCTTTTCTTTCAGCTGAATATGTCAAGTGACCAGATAGCTGCCAATATGCAGGCAGTTATTAATGACGTTTGTAGACATAGACCACTGAATTTGGGTAAGTGGTTTTCTGGACCAGATTTCCTTAATGACCCTGTGATGATTTAAAAATGTAAAATATTAAGAAATCAAATTAGCTTCCAGCTACAGCAGCAATCACATTCCTAAGGATTAAATAAAATTGGATTTCCCCAAATGCTTCTTAATGACCATATTAACAAGTTGTAGTTGTTCAAAGAGACCACTTTCATGTTAATAAAGAATATATTCTGAAACCTTTGTAAATTCTCACATTATTTCACCATTAAATGAAATAAAGTTTGACAAAAAGCTGTAATCCATACCCTTTTAACTTACAGTAGTGGTAACTAAAAGCTAAAAATCATTTTTATGAAATGATATTTTGAAATCAGATCATTTACTAGCACTGACACTAGCAGTTGGCTTTCTTAATCCTATTTATTGTAGAAAAGAAACAAAGTTGTTAATCATCGTGTCACAAGAATCACATCTGATTATAAGCAGGATGTTTCACAGAGTATAATGAAATGTGGTTGAAATGTGGAAATTGTGTAGTAGGCTAGAGCTCTCTCCAGTAACCTTATCACTGTATTGCATGCCATTCACATTCTTTCCACAGATAAATTTCACTCACAGCTAGTTAAAGACAGGCAGGGGTCCATTACACTCACTTGACAATTCATGTATAGGCTCACCATTACAGGAACTTGTCAGCTTTTGCTTTATAAACAAGTGCATAATTAAAATATAATCTTAAACTATTTTCACCTTCTTCGGGAGTTAAACACGTGCAAATATGCACCTCATTGGTTCGTGTGTGGATTCTTATATTCCACAGAGAATTTTGATTTCACTAAAGGAGCCTCCGAGACTGTAGCATAAGTAGTCAGATGGAAGTAAGTCTCTAAAGCTATGGAGTTACCTTCTTTCTGTCATTTAAAATTAAATCCCTTAATGTTTTCTTACAGAAATCTTTTTAATGTTTAGAGAATTTTCTAAATATTTGGTAACACAGAGGTAGCAGCTGTACTCTTTTAAGTCAATATTTATAATATTGCCATCAAATAGCAATATCACCACCTGCTCACTTCACTGTTGCATTTGCAATAAAATAAATTCTAGGTGATTACCTTGTGGAAGAGAAAAGTGAACTTTTGGTGAATATGTACAGTTTTAAAGATATATCTCTAATATTCTAGGTACAGCTAGTTTGTCTTCTACTCTAGAAATGATCTTCCTTTTATAGTTCAAAATATTAGTTCAGTAAACCAGTCCTTCTCAAGTGAAAATACAATGAGTTCCGTAAGCCTTGATGTTATATGCTTGTATTTGTTCCTTTGGTATCCAATGAAAGTTGGTTCTGTCTTTGTTTCTAGGACCCTTCGTGATACGGGCTTTCCTTCGAAGTTCAACAAGTGAAGGTTTGTTACTCAAGATGGAACCGTTGTTGCCTAAAGCAGCAGAAACTAAAGGAAATGACAAAGAAGAGCTGCCTAACAGTGCTGCATTGTGAAGTTATTCTTAGTAATTAAGAAGCAACAGAGAAAATTATAAAACTAGTTTCTGCATTTGGTATTTTACTTTTTTGATTCTATTTGAAAGTGAGTTTTAACACAGGAAAATCTTACAATATTTTCAAACATAAGAAAATAAAATTTTCTTTATGTCTGACGCTGCCTTCTAGTTTCTGGTAGTTTTGTTTTAAAAATTCAGTTTCTACATGCTGGCAATTGTAGCAGCAATTTCTCGCTTATAATTTTCCCTTGAGAGTCCTACTATCTGAGGGAAAAATAGTGCCCCCAATATCCATAAGACAGAGAGGCAGTCATGAACTATGTCACAAATATGTCATATTCTAAAATTATATGAATAATAATAGAGAATGTGACTAGTGTAAAGAAGAATTTATGGAAAATGTTGAATTTCATTTTTGATGGCATGAATATAGAAAATAATTGAGCCATTAAAAACAGGGTGGATGGGGACCTCACTGGTGGCACAGTGGGTTAAAGTGCAGCACTGCAAGCTAGCTGCAGCCACTTCAGTGTGAGTTTGATCCTCTGCCCCGGAGGTGATTCTCTCCTGTCTCACCCGCTGCTCTCAGTATTGTACTTCATCAGCCTGTCTTTTCTGCACCCCAGTCAGTCTCTGGTGAAATCTCTCACCACCCCTGCGTCTCTGGCCCAATTCTGTATGCATAAATAAGTCTTTAAAAACAAACAAA